ATTTATATTTAGTTATCTACATTAACATAATAGTTTAGCCTTAAATAACATCGTCTGAAGTTACACTTATTATGTAGTATATAAAAGGTAAGAGTCTCTCCTTAAGTTTTATGGCAACTTACAATGTATTTGCCGCCATTGTCATTGCCATCCGAGAAATTTTGTTTCTCATTAGTGCTTAGCTTTTTTTCTACTAATACACGTGGTCATGGGATTTGTAAAGGGCTCGAAATGTGGGTTCCTAATAATCTCAGTGCAGAGTACTAAAAAACCGACCTCAAAAGTCATTCATCCCCTAGTTTGCCACCTTTAATAGTGGAGTATTTTCTTCAAATTTAAATGATCACTACTGGGGTACTTTCTTTCCAACCAAATAAGAATCAACCGTGACCATGGGACCTGTAAAGGGCCGAAATGTTGGTTTGTTTGAGAAAACAAATATACGCGATTTAAATCCGGAAAAATAGTTTCATTTCCTAAAGTAAGAATCATAAAAATCAGTTCACAAAGTTATCGTGTAACATACATACAAAACACCGTCGAATTGAGGACCTCCTCCTTTTTTGAAGCCGGTTAAAAAAATAGTTCCATTTCCTATGTGCAACAGTCGCGAAAACCTAAAATAAGTAATTGTCTCTTTGTAATTTCAGGAGGACCTTTACCACGAGAGGTACTCAAGCATAGCGGTGATGTTCGCCTCGATCCCCAACTACAAGGAGTTCTATGACGAAACCGACGTGAATAAACAAGGCCTCGAGTGTTTGCGGTTGTTGAACGAAATCATTTGCGATTTCGATAAGGTAAATAAAATTATTTTTTTTGGCATCACCGCAACAGAGTACTTACGTCATTATCAGCACATTCTTCTCACTGCTGTGCATGAGTCTCCTCTAAGAGGCTTTAAGATATAGATCACGCTGGCTTAGTCAGGTAGCGCGGGATGCGACCAGGGGGCCTATGCCATGCAGTTCAGTTGATGTAAAACTGGATTGTATAAATTTGCATGATGACCTACAGAAAGTTGAACGAGAATTATATGGCAACATGATGAATTTTATTTTTTAAACATTAATTATTGTCTCTGGCCTGCTAAGTTGTCATTTCGAAATTTCGTGGAATATTTGCCAAGTTTTATTGAAATCGGTTACTGGAAAGTGCGCGAAACCGGATTCATCCCCTAGTTTGCCACCCTTGAGGTGGAGTATTTTCTTCAAATTTAAATGGTATCACTACTGAGGCACCCTCTTTCCAACAAAAAAAAAGAATCATAAAAATCGGTTCACAAATTATCGCGTAACATACATACTAAAAAAACTATACAATCAAATTGAGAACCTCCACCTTTTTTTGAAGTCGGTTGAAACAATAGATACCTGTGTTACCCCTTTTTTTTTTTTTTTGACGGGGGGAAATCTTTATGGATACCCCTGAGCCCAGGGAGACTCAGGAGTTATGTGGGGACTCTCCCTCCAACTAAAACCCTACCTGTGTTACCCTAGGAGCGTTCAAGTAGTATTAACCAATTGTGTTCGAAAAGAGAAACTATATGTTTTTTTAAACATTTTATTCATGATTTTAATACTTCCTATGCAATGGTGAACGTCAACTGCATGGATCGTGAATTGTTTTTGTGAGCTTATAGTACTAATTTGACAGCCAATCCAAGTTACGGACCTAATCAAGTTTGCTATAAGGGCACATAGTAGGCCCCCTGTGTGGATACTGTGGCCTTTTCCCATATCTACGCAAGCATGGGTGGTGCGGCCTCTATCACCAGAGCAATCCAGAATTACCGGAACTTTTATTAGCAGTAGAGCTCTTTGTACGCCAAGTAGTAATGCGCCTATTGCTGCGTTCCGGTTTTGAAACGGTGCTAGTAAAACTGCAGTCTCATTACTTGCCTATTTACGTATTAGGGTGACGGGCGCAGTGGCAGTGCCCCTCAGATCTTTGTGATTTAAAGCACTGAGTGGTACTGCAACTGTTATGGACAGTCGTGTCACTAACCATCAGGAGGACGACTTGTTCGCCCCGTCACTTGGTCTCATAAAAAAAGACAAAGTGTTAAAAGTTTTAAGCTTGTTTTTGCTTTTTAGAAGGCAAAATGGCGAACCCATTCTTAATTGGGAAAGAAATTTAGCAATGTTTATTTTGTTCACAGTTACTCTTAAAACCGAAGTTCAGCTGCATAGAAAAGATAAAAACTATAGGAAGTACATATATGATAGCTTCCGGCTTGCGACCTGGGAAAGAAGAGCAACTGGTAAGTATATAATAGTTTATTTGTCATACAATACCATTGACTTACAAATAAATGGACGACGGGTCTAATACAAAAACCACGAAAATAATGTCCCAAGTCAACCTATTTAAACGTAGTGACATGTGAAGGAATAAGAAAAAGCTAAAACGTTGTTTAAATTGTAATGTCATCGCAGTACTGTCTAATTTTGCTTGCTTCGCTGTCAGTCGAACAAACGAAGACTAAAGCATGAATGACGCTCTGTATACGATTTTAACGCCCTATAAGTTCGGACACTTTTTAGCGCGGACCCGACGTCCATATAATTGTAAGTCAGTGTACAATACACATAAATTAGACGATCACTAGTTACAAATTTTTTACCAGGTTATGATTTATTTTTGTTTTCTTCACGCTCCATTGTCGAAAATAAAGTATTTCAATGGTAACACCACAAGAAATCGAGATTCATTTTGAAAATATTTTGTATTATATTAGCAACGATCATATTATCCTTTGAGATTGCATTTTAATATAGATAATATGAAATATATGATTCTATTCTATGAATCTTTACAGGATGCGAACAGGAAAGAAGAGCACACAGTAGCAATCCTGGTGGAGTTTGCGATCGCCCTGATGACTATCCTTGATCAGATCAACAGGGAATCTTTCCAGAGGTTCAAGTTAAGGATAGGTAAGTGAATAAGAGTACTAAATAAAACGAAACACGATTTCTACAAATCTTTCGAATAGCCTTTGAATGGTATGAATTGAAAATACGACGGGGACGAATAGACACAAATTATTAACGTAATTTTGCATAATGTTGTTGAATAAAAGTAAATGTGATTGCCACAGTGTATACTCCTTCTATATGTATAAGTTAATTTTTTATAACATTTACTACACATTCTCAGTGTCGACTTATAATTGAAATCAAATAATTTGATTTAATATAAAATTAAACAATTACTGCGACCACGACTGTGACCACGGGATCTGTAAAGAACATTGCATGGAAAAAATAGTTTAATTTCCAATGTATTGTGTAGCAATCACAAATACCCAATTAAGTATAAACATGGACCAATAAGCCAAGAGGATTGCTGATCGCGATACAAGAAAGCGTAGTTGGGTATTTAGAACCTGTTGGTACACCAAATGTCGTGCTGAGTATACATATATATTAATAATATTTTTGTAACTAACTTCTTTTACATTGACAAGCTGCAATTTATCAAAGCTACGCTAATTTCTAGTGACGACAAACAAATCAAATAGATGGCGCTTATTGCATACAATTTTAAGGATACTGCCATCTACCAATGTTAGCAAGCGTTTTTTTTTAGTTTGTAACACACTATGCCATTAATTGATATTTTGTTCAAGTACAGGAAATATTTTTAGGTCATGACCAATATTTGAATAATGTTACAACGAAAAAAACAGACCACTTATATTTCATATTAAAAAGGAATTAATCGATATCCTCTGCCATTTACATAATATAAACTATTATCGATCAGCGCCATCTAGATATAAAACGGGATTTTGACCTTTTTCAGAGTTACGGTCTGTAGTATGGAGATTAGCACAAGTAATAGGAATTTTAATTTCATTTGACGGGTTTGTGTCTATTCACCTACAAGTTGCTACTCACCCCATTGTGTCTGAGATTATTTGGCCCTTTATTTGTATGAACCAGGTCTTAATCACGGACCAGTAATAGCCGGCGTGGTTGGGGCGCAGAAGCCCCAATACGACATTTGGGGCAACACCGTCAACGTCGCCTCTAGGATGGACTCCACTGGAATTATGGGCAAAATTCAAGTCACGGAGGATACCGCGAAGTAAGTAGCTTGTGGGACTCATAAATTAAATTCGAAAAGTAATCCTATTCAGCCGTGACCATGGGATCTGTAAAAACCCGAAGCGTTGGTTTGTTTGAAAAAACAAATGTTCGCAATTTAGTATCTATTCGATTAAATATGATCTGAGGGGCACTGCCACTGCGCATATTAGTTGGCAAGTTGGCAACCTTCAAAGACCGAAACGCAGTAATGCTTACATTACTGCTTGGCGACAGAAATAGGTGGCAGTACTTCCCTAGACGAACTCTTTCACAAGGCGCTCTACTGCTACTAACGAATAATAAAAATTGTATCCATCCATTATAATTTCTACTTTGCAAATTAAGATATTTCTATTGAAAAACGAATAAATTTCTTTTGTATTGATATAAACTGAAAGTTCTTGTAATTAAATTACAAAATACTGTACTGCGACTTACAGTGCTTGGGTTTGATATCTTAGCATTATCAATATTTTTTTCGTCTGTATTTGCTGACATTTATGTGGGAGCCTGCCGCTGTGTTTTAGTAAGTAAGGCCTACAATTAAAATTTTATTTTATTTTGCAGAATATTAATGAACGCTGGCTACACTTGCGAGTGCAGAGGGCCTACGTATGTTAAAGGGAAAGGTACTTTAGTAACGTATTTTGTGAAAACTCCTAATATAGGTTAGGGACACATTTCATAATTAAGTAGTCACTTTTAAATGTACAGTCAACAATACGTTGGGCTGCGCTTTCGACTTTGAATCGTTCTCATTGCGAGTGACATTTACTTGAATTAAAATTTTAATTGTAAAGCCCAACGCGCTGTCGACTATGTAGCTGTAAGTTTCGAAAAATACTCAATTAAGAATGTTAAGGTTAATTTTAAATGTGTCACAGGTTACTGTAGGGTTTAAAAGTTCGTAAAGCGGTATAAATTTGACTTTATTCTTTATGTTAACTGTACTACCTAATAAGAAATATAACTGTTTTAAAGGGTGGATCTAGCGTGGGTACACGTTAGATCGCAAAATTGATTTAATACGTCATTAGCCCAAACAATCTATACTTTTGTCCAAGACGGAGTAAAATGATAGTTTGGTGCGCAAAAATTTTGCTATAAATAAAATAAAATAAAAATAAAATAAAATTCATTTATTTCGGGCAGCAAAAACCCATATATAGTCTGTCGTTCTTGAAGATGAAGTAAAATGACATTTGCAGTATTGCCAGTTTTCCTAAAATTGTAAATAGTCATGAAGTAGATATCGACAGATTTGTTGAGAGATTGTGAAAGTAGGTAAATTTTAATTAAATTTTTATTGAATTGATATTTAAATATTTTTTGTGAAATTACTCCACTAGTTTGTTATAATTATTAATACAAAGATCGAACATTTAGAAAAAATTCCTTCGATCCGGTCGGATTCGAACCGACGTCTTCTTGCATACCGTGCCAGACGCTATACCAACTAAGCCACGGAATGAACCAACGGACCTCACGAATTTTTCTATGTGCTTGCGTCGTGTCTTTGTATTTGGTTTTTCAACGACTTTTTAGTCGTAGCGCCATCTATGCGAAATCTATGAAAGATTTATCACCTAGTTAGTACCTTTACAGCTACCAGTCCTGACGAGAGATGTTGCTATTCACTGTATTAATTAAATTTTTATTGAATTGATATTCAATTCTTTTTTGTGAAATTACTCCACTAGTTTGTTATAATTATTAATACAAAGATCGAACACTTAGAAAAAAGCGTCTGGCACGGTATGCAAGAAGACGTCGGTTCGAATCCGACCGGATCGAAGGAATTTTTTGTAAGTGTTCGATCTTTGTATTAATAATTATAACAAACTAGTAGGTAAATTTTGTCAAAAATGACTGAAGTATGAATGTTATGACGTTCTAATGATTACAAATTACATTATTGTATTCTTTACTCTTATTTTGACAGTTGGTCTATTAGTATCAAAATCAAATTTTCTGTCACACGCGTTTTAATAACGACAGGCAGATTTGATTGTGTTTAAATTAAAATGAAAAACTTTAAAGCATGTCTCCTACTTATATTTTTAATACGCAACCTACATTTATTGTATATATGAACAAAGTTTAAAAAATCACCAATTTAAATGAACCTGTGCCCAGTTGTTGGACGTATAATAGGCCGATAGTGGGTCAAATTAAGCAATTTCGTCTATTTATAAGCGTAACCAATGTTTCGTCATCGATAATATTTATCGACAGCAGTCACTAGCCGCTTGCAAGCGGACAACACTTTTACCCAACTGTCATTCAACTGTCATTGAACTGTCATTTTACTCCGTCTTTAAAAAAGACAGACTATAGCTTCCAAGTCGGTGGTGATTGCAGTCGATAAATCGACTAAATATTAGTTAAGATTACGCAATAATAGGTGGAACTTGTTTAATTTGAACTTGAATTAAGGCTCATAAACTATAATCATCAGTTTACACGTATTCACTGCTGAACATAAGCCTCCCCTTGAGCACGTCAATTCTCTCGGTCCTGTGCCGCCCGCATCCAGCCGCCGCCAGGCACCTTTCTCAGGTCGTCCGTCCATCTTGTCCTACATTACATTTTCCTGGACGCGGTCGCCACTCTAACACAAAACGTAAAAAAACTGTTAATAAAATTCTTTAATTTCATCTTGGAATGATAACATCGTGGCTCTGTGCTTTACGAATTAATTTCAATACCAATCCACAATTGACGGAGAAATCGGAGAATAGACTGTATATGCCAATAAAATTTGAGGATTTCCATCGATTTCCATGGGATCACCTCATCAGATTCTGAGTTGGTGACAATGGGACTTTATGAGACCACCTCGGAGAGTATACCCTTTCAAACAACAAAAGAATTTTCAAAGGTTAACTGTTAAAATAAGAAGAAAGGCGAGAGGTAAACATGCGTTCCTCTTTTACAATCTGTCGATAAACCTGTCGACAACAACTACATGACTATTTAAAATTTAACGAAAAATGGCAACCCCGCATTGTCATTTTACTCTGTCTTGAAAATAAAATAAACAGGCTGCTGCTGTAGTTATAAGTCAATATTTCGTCGTAGTACATTAACAATAATCCATTCTGATGACATACTACGTGACATATCCGATTGACATTATTACAATCGTTGACTTACAATTATATGGACGTCGGGTCCGCGCTAAAAAGTGTCCGAACTTATAGGGCGTTAAAATCGTATACAGAGCGTCTTTCACGCTTTAGTCTTCGTTTGTTCGACTGACAGCGAAGCAAGCAAACTTAGACAGTACTGCGATGACATTACAATTTAAATTCAGCGTTTTAGCTTTTTCATATTCCTTTACATGTCACTACGTTTAAATAGGTTGACTTGGGACATTTTTTTCGTGGTTTTTGTATTAGACCCGTCGTCCATATAATTGTAAGTCAATGATTACAATATTAGAGTGGATTAGGAAGACTGTTATAAAATGATGTCATAAGGCTTGTACACAAGTCTTATGACATCAGACACTCAGATATGATTTCAAACTAGGAAATTCACTGTACTGTGAGTAACGAAATTACCTCTGGGTATAGATTTAGAAACCAGTACAACTATTCTATATTTAAGATGACGTACAGAATTACCTAGTGAAGTCTGCTCTCTTTCTCATTACTTAATAAAAATGACATACAAGGACATACAAGGATAGAGGCATAAGAGTAAATGGGCGTTAAATAGTAAGGGCTCTTGCATAAAGGTGTTAAAAATGAAAAAAACTATTCAAGAAAGTTGAAGTCGCAGTTAAAGAGTCACAGATGAGTAGCAAATAGAAAAAATAACATGCGTTCACACCGCAATTATATGAGAACCGACAAATTAGCTTGCCATTGTATTGCCATCATCCGCTCCTACAAATAATAGCGTATTGGTATTTGGCTCGCCTACGTACATCGAGTATAAAACCAGAAATAGAGACGAAATGAGGGCCATATATTCCTGGTAACTTATCAGTGATACATCACTTATAACCAACATCAACTCTCGTTTGCACTGAAATATGGAAGCGCCAACAACTGACCTGTGTGTAATATATTATAGAATATTCCAACAATATTCAGTATTTATTGTAATAAAGATAATATCTCCAACAATGGCGAGCTGTTTCATTTGGTAGTGTGCGGAAAAACAGCAAAACATCTAATTACAAAACAAACGGAATCAAATTTCATCGGTAATTTAATTTTGCAATTTTCGTCCATTATAGCAAAGCTCAAGTTAATTGGTCGATTTGAAGTGAAACAATTGACAACACCCGTCAATTGTTTCGAACTCGCGCTGGCCAATCGGAGCGCAGTTGTCACTGTAATGATATTACAGAATAGTTTTTAAACAAATTAAATGATATTTCGTCTCCAATTCTGATATATACTCGGAAGCCTCTGTATCACCACGTGCCTCCGGACTGACCCCCTCTACAGCCGCATTATGTGACGTGTGCGCTCGTGACAAATCAGTACAGCCATTATGAATGCGGCTTTATTGGCTTATCTGTAACCAATTAAGTGCGGCTTTGTTTTCCCTGTACTAGTTTGCTTACTTAAATAAGGTATAGAATGAAGGGAAATTGACAAAACTCCCTCTACCGTAGCCAAAGATTACTCAGTTATAGAACAATAAATCTTATTGTTAATACAAAGATCGAACAACACAGAAAAATTCTTTCGATCTGACTCGACTCGAACCAATGTCTGTTGCCATGCCGGGGCCACCGCTTTTACCAACCGAGTCAGTTGGCAAGAGTGGTGGACTAGCTAACAGCACAATAAATTTAAGGAGATCTTTTAAAAGTATACCAAATATTGCGGTCATGCCATTGGACAAATTGTCTTTGTTTGATATTTACGTGCGCGACGACTCTGAGCTTCGAAGAGATACTTTACGTACGTTAAAAGATACCTCGTAGTGACGTCACTTTCAAGAGATATCTTTTCTTTCCGGTTCATGTACTAGGTCACCAACCAGAACCACATGAGAAATGCTTTTAAATTGGTCCAATCAGAAACTGACTCCGCATCTCCTTATCTAGAGTTCTAAACCAGGGTTGTTGCTGATGCTGGTTTTTTACACATCACCGGATGCTGTGGCCGTAGCATGTCACAATATGTGTGATAAACCTCCCCGTGATAACATTTAATTCAGTTAATAAATCTGAGTTTGCTTATTTGGTAATGAACTATTGTTATACATTTTGAAGAACAAGGACAACGATATGAAATTGCTTATATAGCTATCTTTGTCGTTTAGTCATCGCCGCGAAAACCATGAAACAAAAAATGTCTTTTCATCTCATTTGTCGCGCTCAATTTTGAAGTTGATAAAATTACTGTGCAAATGTTTTAAAATCAGCTGTGATCTTGCAGCCATGTTTGACACTGTCACACCCTGGATACTCCATATAACTCCATAAAAAAAGTGAAGTCACGGTGTTCGCCATGTTCACTATTGTGATAAAATTTTAAAATGCTGGTTTATCACTCGAATTCGAATGAAATTTAATGTGGATATAATATAGCTTTATCGAGGCGGCATACCACGTGGGCTGATTTTTTTACCTTAACACCAGCGGAAGAAGCTTTCTATTTTCTTTGGTATTGTAATAAAATATTATTTCAATGATTTTGTGACATTTATTAACAAAAGAATCAATCTTCATGAAAACTATCAATCTGTCTAACTTAATCGTCGTGGAATTTTAACAAAATTATACTTTTAAAACAACCATCTGAACCGCTTTTTCGGCTTACAGTCTGTTTCCGGAAGGTTTGTAAACTATTCTAGCGTACGTTTTAGGTCATGTC